CCCCAAAACCCCAAAACCCCAAAACCCCTTATTATTCAAGATATCATTGGCTAATTAAATAATATAGTTGTCCTACTGCTTTAATACAATATTATAATTTTATTGTATTATTATTATTATTTAGAGAAAAAAAATGTTCGAGCTATATGTATTTTTAGATGAGGTGATATTGCAACCAGGAGAACTTTCTAATTTCAATCTTACTCTTGAAAATAAAATTAAGAATAAGCTGGTAAATAAGGTAAGTAGCATTCTATATCTTCATTTATCATAGGTTATTCCTAATGAAGGATTGTGTGTTGCATTAAAATCAATCAAGGTCCTTGATAAAATAGTAGTGTAAGGAGAAGGTACTGTTCAAACTAAGGTAACTATAAAATTTAATGTAATTATGGTTAGGTAGAACTATCTGCAGTACTGATTAGACCTTAAGTAGATGAGGTTTTAAATGGCAAAGTGACAACTTAAAATGAATATGGAATAGCTGTTGATATCGCTAATCTTAGTATATTCATCCCTTCTGAAAACTTGATGAAACCTTCATACTTGTATTTATTTTTGCTCTACTATAATCTTATACAGTGACAGCGTAGAAAAGAAATGGTTGTGGAGATTTAAGGACTATGATTTATACTATGAAAATAATCAATCGATTAAATTCAGAGTTAAAGAAATCAACTTCAGTAAAGAATACTAGCAAAGGATAAAGTCACAACAATTATATGCTCTTGGGTAATTAAGTGCTCTAGAGTAGTAATCTGATGCTCCTGCTCTTGCAGAATTAGATTAAAATTTCATCCCTTCTCATTATGTAGTGGTAAGTAATTATTTATATAATTATGTTTTATAGGGATAATGCGAGGAAGAATGTCTTGGTATGAACTCGTGGTGGTGAAATTACATCAGCTTGCTTGTAAATTAAGTCAGAAAAAATTAATTCAGCTTATTCAAAGAGATTATTTTCACAAATTCATTGATAATTTATTAATCTATATATAATGATTTATGGGGTTTTGGGGTTTTGGGG